CCCCAAAACCCCAAAACCCCAAAACCCCAAAACCCCAATGTTAAATCATAAAATTGAGTTGATATGGACACCTGAATATCAATAATTTACACATCCACGAAGCCTTGGTACTCTTCTGAAATTTTCCTTTTCTTCAAGTCTCAAATCCACTTCTTGACAAATTCATGATTTTGGTTGAAATTTGTTGTAAATCAAGCAATTTCTCTATCTCATATTGAGACTAGTTCCATTTGAACAATCAGTTCTTCATCTGAAAATCATCCTTCTTTGTCACTTTTACTCCCGATAATACAAATTGGGACTCCTTCAAGGCTTGGCCAGCCGGTCAATTCAAAAAGTAAATCCTTAGCTTGGTGTATATTAGCTAAATCAGTGGAGTCGACAACGAATAGGATAGCGTCTGACACTCTTCAGAATCTAAAAATGAGTTAGTTGGCTCTTTTAGTAGCATACTTCTCCCAGCTTTCCCGGTAAGACTCTTCTCCGCCCATATCATATAACTTAACTCTTATCCTACTGTTTATGGATCCTTCTTCGACACTTAGTCCAACTGTTGGGAAGTATTCCTCTTCTTGCTCCTTACTTTCTTCTTTTTTCTAAAGATCAGAAGCTAGCTTACCTTGGCTATAGAGAAATGAGATTACTGAGTAGCAGCGAACGCTCATATGAGTTACAGAATTTTAGACTGAGAAGTAGGAATGTAAGGAGATATTGAGCCTTATTCAGTCCATTTTGAAACAAAATCTTACCTCTTACTTTCTCAGTGGATTCCTTTTTCGTCAATTGTTGGTTATTTAGAAGTGATGTACAGAATCAAGTCTTACCCACTTTTCTCTATAAAGAGTAATTAAGAGCTGGAAATTGGAGAGATTTTGTTTTCTAACAAAAATAATGGGATCTTATTACAGGTTTATTTCTGAAGGATTTTCTCTATTCTAAGAAATGTTTGCGTTGTATAATTCCTTTCAAAAGTTCTGAAAATAAAAACAACAAATTTCCTTTAATTATTTTGGAGATTCAGGAGATGAAATTTACATCAATATCTTCTATAAAAACACAGCCAAAGGACTATTCATTAACTCAAAACCACTACTTATATCACTAGTTTTCCTAAGTAGTACTAAATATCTATCTGAAAAGTTTGCTGAACATTAAAGACACACTGTTCCTTCCATAATATTCCCCCAAATTCTGTCAAAGAATGACTGAAATAATTTTAATGTAGTCTAAAAAACGTACCCATGCCTACAACTCAGAGAGTAATTTCTTTGCCAATAGTGATGACTATAGAATTACTAAGCTATTGTACGTTTGAACCATTCTCCAGCCTTCTTTAGAATCTCCATGTTTAATGTTTCTATATTTTCAATAATTATTTGTTGCTTAGGGGTTTTGGGGTTTTGGGGTTTTGGGGTTTTGGGG